ATTTATGGCTAATTGTCTGGAGCGTAGCGACAGACACTCAATTTCTACGCATTAAGTGATACAAAAGTTACGTTTTTTGATGCGTTTCGACCATCAAACGTTTCTTTTTGATGCATTAACGTAATTATTATAATTAACATATCAATAATGTAACCTCGAAATTTTTTGTCTGTCACGCCGCGTGACGCGTGATTACAAAACTATAACAACGATTGATTACCGGTACAGTCAGGGATATTACCAAATACGGTAATGCTCCAGACTTATATCGGTACCCGATTCCTAGTCTATTTTTATAAATTATGCAGGCAGGTTTTTTTTGGTAAAAAAAAAAGCCGATGTAACACAAATCGTATAATAAATTAATTAAAATTTGTATAAAAACCCACAATCCCCCACATTTCTCAATCCCGCTAGGTCACGTGTGTGCGGTTGAAATACCCACAAAAGTCCGGTGTTTAAAAAGTATGTAATAAGAAATTCCATGATTCATCAATGGTTTTAATGGTTTTAATGGTTTTAATTGGTATTAGTACCATTTCTTCGGAACTATTATTCGATCTGGTAGATAGATGCATGCCTTCATTTGCAACTTCGTCTGGTTCATCGGTTGTAACGTTTTTTGAATGTATATTATTTTCAGAATCATTTTGATTGCCTAGATTAAGAAAATTTTTAATAAATTACAAATTATCAAAATATTGAATATAAAATATTTATTTGAGCAATAGTAATAATAAGTCATAAATTAGGTGGCATTAACATTTTTATTACCTTCACGAGACTTATCTATGTTTACATTTTCGGCTGTATTAAGCATTAACTGTGCAGTTTTCTGATTATTTGTATTATTTGGACTAGTGGAAGGTTTTATTATCGCATTTTCATCGGTTTGGCTTGAATTACCAGTTACTTCATTACCTAAACCATTAGATGGTTGCATCGCATTTTCATCTGTTTGATTTGCATTACCAGTTGCTTCATTATTTGAACAATTAGATAGTTGTATCGCATTTTCATCATCTTGAATTACTAGTTGTTTCATTTTTATTATTCAAAAGTTTAATCGGTCAATAATTTCGGTCTGTAGCATAAAAATATGCTAATTTAAGGTACTTACTTGATTTTTCTGAAAGGCTTTTAGGTACATTTTCATCGATTTGACTTGAACTACCAGTTATTTCATCATTTGAATTAGTAGATGGTTGTATCGCATTTTCTTCGTTTTGAATCACTAGTTATTTCATTTTTATTATCCAAAAATTTAATTGATTAATAATTTTCGGTCTCTGGTACAAAAATACGATAATTTACGACGCTTACTTGATTTTTCTGAAAGGCTTTTAAGCGTTTTTAAAATTTCTTCTAATTTTGGACGCTGGTACGGATGACAATCCCAACACCTTTCATAAAGTTGAATATATGTGTCAGGGGTACCTTCAATAGGAACTTCTCTTTTTCCATTAAATATTTGAAGGGGAAGGGCCATGTGGGTAGGGTTGCGGGCACGGGGTCGTTGGGCATGCCTCATGGGCATGCCCTTGAGCTAAAAGGCATGCCCTGTCATGTGATCATCAATATACTTATACGACAATTTGATTGGCTATTATCACAGCATCGATTAAATTC